CAAAGCAGTATGTGCACTGCATAGAAAATTCCACTAGTACAAAACCAGTATAAAAAATATTAAAATCAAACCGCCGACCCTGCCCACACCTTGCTTTAACGGTGCGCTCATTTCATGTTTCCCTGCTTCCCTTTTCCGTGATCCTCCTTTCTATCTCACGTCGTGAACTCTGCTCACCTTGCTTCCCACTGGTAAGCTGAGGCTGTGGAGGGTCCCTGCCCTTGACTCCTGCCTTCATTCCCAGGCTTTTGTCGGTGTTTCTTTGTCAGGATTCTTAACTTTTCCATTGTGTTTATGTGATTGGCAAATTTTGACTTTTTTGGAGAAGGAACTAACTTTAAGGGGTGAAAGAGCCTGAAAACATGCTTCAGTTGTTACCAGGATGACAGCTCCTTTGAGTCCAGTCACCATCCCAGGACCTTAAGAAGAGGCTCCTAGGAGCATCACGAGTATATAGATTTTTATTATCTTTGTTAAATGTTTATTTTTTTAATTTAAATTTTTTATTAGTATGTATTTGTAGTAGGTATGATTATATTCACTATGGGAGTTGGTATACATATATAGCACATATACATAATATACCTAATTTTTTTTACTTATCCCATCTTTTTTCCCTTATATAATCATCAGCTGTAGAGGAATCATATCTGTATTTTAGTTTCTGTTTGTAATATGTTTTTTTCAATTAAAAACTCTTATTATAACAAGAGCAACACACATATATTAATGAAAGTTAGGAAATATAACTTGAGCCTGGGAAAGGTTCTGAGGAGGAAAGGATGGAGAAAGGATGGTTAATAGGTGCACATTTTAAAAAGAGCCAAGTATATAGCTCAGTGCAAAGGCCCTGTGGTGTCCAAGGGGTTTTGGTTGCAGGACCTTCATGTATACTAAAATCTATAGCTGCTCAAGTCCCTTATATAAAATAGCAAAGCATTTGAATATAGCACAGATATCCACCTATATAACTGAAATAATCTCTAAATTACTTGTAATACCTAATCCAATGTACATGTAATTAAATAGTTATTCTGCTGTATTAGTCAGGGAATAATGGCAAGAAAAAAGATCTGCACATTCAGTACAGACATAACCATCACAGGCCTAACTACAAAGACCATGAACAACACCTAATACAATTGGATAGGAAGAATCACTTCTGATATTCCATAGCACAGTGGGATAACTATGATAGACAGCAATTAATAGTATATTTCAGAAATGGCCAGGAAGATTTTAAATGTTCCCAACATAGAGACATCATGTGTCTGAAGTCACCTGACCTGACCATTACACATTGTACACATATACTGAAATGCCACAGTTTGCCTCCTAAATACATATAATTACTATGTGTTGATTATAATTATATTGAAAAGAAAGTTAGAAAGTATTCATAAGCAGGAGTTTCCCTAGTTGTGCTTGATAGATCCAACGTGGCTCCCGTATTTTACCTCATTGTTAGGATTATTATACTCATAATGCCAGCTTCCTGGAGCGGCTGGGCTGGTTGCACTACAGAGTGTTTTACCTTTTGGACTTCTGTAGCAGTTCCCTTTGTGGTGATGGTTAGCTTGTTCCTCTACCCTCACATTTCTTACAAACTGCAAATCAGACCTAAAGTCTTACAAGCTTTAAAATATTTGATAGAGGCCAGGCGTGGTGGTGCACGCCTGTAATCCCAGCACACGGGAGGTTGAGGCAGGAGGATCCCTGTGAGTTTAAGACCAGCCTGGGCTATATAGTGATTTCCAGGTCAGTCTCAACTACACAAGTGAGACCCTGTCTCAAAAAAAAAATTAATAGAAAACATCCTAGGTCATGTGTATTTCTTACTATACTTCGTTAGGACACAAACAATGTTTAGTTGACACACCATCATTGATGCTAGATTGACTGCTGGTTTACATTCCCTTCTCTGAACTGGAAAGTAGTCTGCATGGTGTTATTTTGGTACCAGATGAAATCAGTGTGGCTTCCACACATGTTTTATGTCTTTCCTGGAATTATATCTGCCTTGTTTTTTCTTTTGTTGAGAGAAGAAATATTTACCTTCTTCATCATAACCCTAAGAGTTTTAAGCCTTCTATTGATTTCATGTGTGGAGGTGAATCCATTCCATTCTTCCTGTGGATGCTCTCAGAACGACAAACTTTGAGGTCTAATTTCTACTAATTGCTTTCTAGACTTGGTATCCAGTGTATTCTGGGCTTTCTTTTATTCTACTTTGGGGTCAACTCCACCTCCTAAAAATATCCCAACACATCATTTTATTCTCTGTATTGGTTTGTCCTCTGTCTCTTTTTTCCTTTTCTCTTTTATATTTTCCCCCATTTCTGAGTTTTTTAATGTGTAAAAAGGACCATTTTCCTTTTATATTTGCTTAATAGTTTGCAAATAGAGATCTGTGTTTGTGTGAAGTACAAGGAAGAGGAAGTGAATTTGGCTAAGTCCCAGTTCCCTCTCTCTGAAGTGGGGGATGATGATACCTGTGCTGGCTTGGGCTCCCCAGACGACTGACGTTCCAAGCAGGTGGGCAGGAAGTGTGAGTGAGTGCTCATGGGCTCACCGTGTGGGTGGAGTAGAGGCGCAGGTGTGGGCTGGGAAGCAGTCACAGGATGCCTCAGTTGATCCCGAAGGAGCTTTGGAGCTGGAGGGACGCAGCAGAGACCCCCCCTCCAACCCCCCGTTGACTGAAGGGAGGTGGGTCTTTTTCCCCTCCTTCAAGTGGAGGAGACCTGACAGGACTGGCTGGCTGCCAGCACTCCCAGATGAGTGCTTTGATCTTGCAGGAATTGATTCCGGGCAGTGCAGCCAGTGTCCCTGACCACTCACAGGATCCATGTGGAGCAGGACCCCAGGAAGTGGCAACTTAAAAGGGGGAGGCTGTGTTTGTTTCCTGAGACTTTTTTAGCTTTGTAGACCTGATATAAATATTTGAAAGTACAGTCAGCTCTCCATATTCATGGGTTCCATATCCACAGATCCCACCAGCCATGATGGGGAAAAAGAAAAAGACTACAAAAAGCAGAAAGCAAGACTTAAACTTGTCATGTGCTGAGCGCCACACCAAGCCCACATGAATGAAGCACTGTGTAGCACACCCTGCTGTAGCCTCTGCCTTCCTGGATCCGCAGCCTCTCTCCAGCATTGTTTGAGCACTGCTCACCTGCCATGTTGTTCATGGACCTTGTAGTTAGGCCTATGATGGTTATGTCTGTACTGAACGTGCACAGCATCTTTTTTCTTGCCATTATTCCCTGACTAATACAGCAGAATAACTATTGATTACATATACATTGGATTAGGTATTACAAGTAATCTAGGGTTTATTTCAGTTATACAGGAGTATATCTGGGTTATATGCAAATCCTTTGCCATTTTATATAAGGGACTTGAGCAGCTATAGATTTTGGTATCCATGAAGGTCCTGTAACCAAAACCCCTCAGACACCTCAGGGCCTTTGCACTGAGCTACATACTTGGCCCTTTTTAATTTTTTGGGGGGGCAGGAATTGAACTTGGGTCCTTGTACTTGTGAGGCAGATGCCAGAACCACTGAGCTGAATTCCCAGCCCTTAAAAATTATTTTTGAGATAGGATCTCATTAAATTGTCCAGGTTGTCAAACTTGCAGTCCTCCAGCCTTAGACCTCTAGAGTTGCTGGGATTGCTGGTGAGTGCCACCACACCTGACAGACAATAGTATCTTGTGGTGAGAATCAAGGCAGCCTACCTGAAGATGCCAGCAGACCCATCTGACTTCATGGTGGACATGAGGATGAGGCAGTATCTCCAGGCTTTGTACTTTACTTCACCGCCCTTGTTGTTCAAAAGTGCAATTCTCATGTCTCACAACAGCCCTATGGGGCAAACACTTAGTATTTCCACATTACAGATGAGTAAACTGAGGCACAGAGTAAGGCTCTCAGCCCACAACTGGGAAAGGATGGAGTTGGGGTTGGAACTCAAGATCTCTCTCTGGGCCAGTGCCCTCAGTGACTTACGTGCTCAACGACCTGTCATTAGTTATTTGAAATGGGCAGATGTATAAGCAAGTGTTTATATGAGTTTTACCTAGGGGTGAGAATGAGTGCAGGCACCAGCGACCTAACCAGGGTTGAGCATGCTACCACGAGTTTGTTATGGGGCTCCCAGGCACCTCCCAGAGTCAAGTTGCAGGAGGCAAAGCTGAGTCCCCTGGTTTTGCCTCTCCTGCCCTGCACACACCCACTCTATCCTTCATTGCTGCCTCCTGCTCTTTGTGTATATCCCCATCTTTGGCTTCTGTCTGTACACCAGCTGTTTCCACATCTGTACCTGCACACATAAGCCCGAAATGGCTGCAGCCCACACTGCTGCCTGTCACTGCCCGCTCAGCCCTTTTGCAGGTAGGGATCTGAGACACATGGTATCCCTGGGTTGCCCAAGGGTTTGAGAAAGAACTGAGAGAGAGAGAGAGAGAGAGAGAGAGAGAGAGAGAGAGAGAGTGTTCTCCAAAGCCAACTGGGCAGCAGAGCCCTTGGAAGCAGCATCCTTAAGATTAAGGTCCATGGGCTGGGCATTTAGCTCAGTGGTTTCACTGCCTGCTTTGCAAGCACAAGGACCCGTGTTCAATTCCCGGTACCCCCGCCAAAAGATTAAGGTCCAACTCCCTTGCCATGTAGAGTTTATCCCCCGCCTACAGATGAGGAAACTGAGGTTCAGGGAGGTAGGGTGTGTCTGGCTGTGGAGGCTGGGCCTCTTTCACCACCCACTGCGGCTTTCAGCTCTTGTCACTAAAAGCAGCCTGTTTGCCCTTAGCTGGTGATGGGGCAGAAAGAACAGCTGCTCCCCTTCCTCCAGGGTATTTCTTTAGTGATGACTGTTCAGGGCAGTGCGTGACTCCTGAGTCTTGGGGCCTGGCTTCCAGATCATCAGGGTGTGCCAGGTCTCCTTAAAGGGATCTAACCCCTCCTAGGGGTCACTAACTTGCCCCTTTGTTTTTCTTTCCTGAAGCCGAGTGTTCAAGACAGACATGGAGCTGGAGGTTTTGCGCTACACCAATCGTATCTCCAGTGAGGCCCACAGGGAGGTGAGTTGTTACTGGCTGTGGTTCAGCAGTAGCATCTGTGTGTGGGGCAAACTGCATGGCATGAATGGGTGAGGCTGGCCCACATGAGGGAGGACCATGCGGGAGGCAGAAAGTTTCATGCTTGACACTTTTTCCTAGTGGGCAAAGGTCAGGGACAGGAGAGCTTTGCCCTAGCTGTTTACCTTAAGGTATCCACCTTCGTGGAAGTAGTGGCCATTAATCCTCAAGGGCTTTGCCTTTGAAAGGTCTCCAGTTTTGGGAGGGTAGGGCTCTCCTTTCTGGTATTCTGGCAGTTTCCAGCTCATTTTAAAGCGTCTTTGTCCTTAATTAATCCCAGTACACTTATTACCATCATGTGTTATCTGAATACATCTTCTCATGGTTGCTTCTTAATCTCTCACTTTACAGAGAAATGAGACCAAATAAACAAGTTTATATTTTTAATGCCACTGGGGTGGCCTGGCATAGCTCAGTTCCTGGGATAGCCCAGTGCCTGCTCAGGGACCTTCAGGGCTCTGTGTTAGGAAATAAACAAAGGTGATTGATGGCTGTGTAATCTCTTCTATGAGTTAATTTTCTGTTTGATGAAAGTCAGGCAAAGGATACCTTTCAGAAATAGTCCTGAGCATGGCGCACACCTGTAATCCCAGCACTCGGGAGGCTGAGACAGGAGGATCACTGTGAGTTTGAGATCAGCCCGGGCTACATAGTGAGTTCCAGGTCAGTCTCAACTACATAGTGAGACCCTGTCTCAAAAAATCAAAAAAAGAAAAAAAAGAAACAGTCCTGACCACTTTCTTAGCATTGGGTGTTCACAAGACACATCTTGCTCAAATCTTTGCTGTGCTCACCCTGCCTGCTGCCTTCAAGCTGTAGCTCAGAGCTTGGCGTTTATTGGCTTCCAAATGGAAGTGCTCTATAGTGGTTTAAATAAACACTGTGGATTTGGGGGCATTTAAAAGTTCCAATTTGTCACCTTTCTTTACCACTGTGTGCACATATCATTCCCCTCCTATGTTTTTTTTCTTTAAGTGCTTCATTTGCTGAAGTGCTATACATTATTTATAAGGCTGTGTTACTTACCTGCTTAATACAAATGTCTATGCTTAATATCCATCCTCCAGGTAATGAAGGCTGTAAAAGTGGGAATGAAAGAATATGAGATGGAAAGGTAAGCTGTGTCTCTCTGGGTAAAGATTAAAATGTAAAAAACCAGTAATTTATGTTCCCTAAGCAGTAACAGATAAGACTCCGCAGTGCTGCGCACAGATTGAGTAGGGATTAGGGGCCAGCTTTGGGGTCCTGGGCAGAGATTATTATTCTTCTGGCCACGGCCACCTCCCTGGCTCTTGGCAGAGTGTTTGATGGTAATGGTCATTGATTACTTTTCTGGGTGGTTTAGTGCCCCAGCATTCCAGTCTTGGACTTTGTTTCTGCAGTTTGCAGGAAGCTTTACCAATAGCTGCTATTGTGAGCCTGAAAGCCGCTAGTAAAACAGCTTGCCATTTTTATGTGTAAACACCTCCATTATGTCCACTGCGCTTGGAGGACTGGGTAGAGGGATGGTTAAGTGGATCATAAAGAGCTCTGGAGAGCTCCATTGGCCTTCGGCTCCAATTAGGCCTACAGTGAGCCAGTGCACCCAGGGGTGCTGCCTGGAGGTAGTGGCTGCCAGCTCAGCCTGCTGCTGGACCGAGGGGTCTTCAGATGTCTACCCATGACTCAGGGAGCCCTTGAGTCAGACCTAGCCTGCCCTAGCTACTACCTTCTTCCCCCATTTCCTGAGTCTCTCACCAGTGACCACACCACCCAGAAGCTCTGGGGAGGGGACACTGAAGAGCTGCTATTCCACCTCCTGCCTGGCTTTGTAAGAGCTTGATTGCTGCCACCTCCTCCTCCCCACCTTGCAGGGCTCAAGTATACCCCAGGTGCTCTTGGGGCCTACTCTGTGCACAGCTGGCTCTGGGGGATGCTGGGGATTCTGCATCACCTCTGTTAGGGTTCTGATGTGGTTTTCTCCAAGGGTTCATGTGTTGGGAGCTTGGTCCTCAGTGTAGTGATGTGAGAGGTGGTGGGACCTTTAAGAGGTGGGGTCTTTGGGTCTTTGGGGGTCCTGCTTTCAGGATTAAGGTTGATCTTGTAAGATGCTGAGTTAGTTTTGAGAGAGGGTTGTGATAATACAGCAAGCCTAGCCCTACCCAGCTCTCCAGCATTCTGTCTGGTAGTGTGATCTCTTATTATTTTGCCATGATGCTGGCTACTTGTTAGGCCCTCTCCAGAGACCCATCCAGTGGGCTGCCTGACTTTGAATTTTCAGCCCCCAAAACTGAGCTAAACAAACTTCTTTTCTTTACAAAGTAGACTACCTTGGGTTTTTGGTTACAGTAACAAAGAACAGACTCATATACCTGCCCATATATCTTCTGACCTGCCTGCTGTATGAATGTGGGGATGAGGGCCTATGTGTATGTGGGGTCAGCAGCATAGACACTGGCATCCATGTGGCAGTGGCTTGGGGATAGCAGTCTTTTTCCAAGTCTTACCCTGAGAGGGGTTCTGATCAGTGAGCCTCCATATCTCTCCCTTCTTACCCCAGAAGTACGAGGTTAAAATGACCTTGCCCTGCTATTGTGGCATCCCGGAGGGGCCATGTAACAGTGTCCCTCAGAGTCCCAGCTGTGTCAGACAAGGCAGATGGGGCAGGGCCTGCGGAGCCGCCCCTTCTACCAGGTCTAATGCAGTGGGGTCTCTGTGGTCTGGAACTCCCAGGGCCTCGGCCCCCTTGAGGAGATGGGAAGAGTATTGCAGAGCCACCCCGGGGCTGCAGATTGGCACTGCCCCAGAAACCCGTTCCCAACTGAGTTGACTCATAGTGACCCATTGCTGATGCCTCAAATAAAAATAACCAGGAGATTGGAACAAGAATAGCTTGTCACAGTGTGGAGCCCTGCCATCTGCTGCGTGCCGGCAGCCTCGTGCCCTGAGCTGCAGGGGTTCCTGAGCTGGAGTGGCTCCTGAGCTGCCTCCCCTCATGGTGTCCCCAAGCCCAATCCTGCTACAGCCTGTGGGCAGGGCCATGTGGGCTGGGGGGGGCACTTGCCAACCCCCCTCCCCTTACGCTGCCCAGGAAATGGAGGTCTTTTTTTCCCTTTTACTGGGAAATTTCACAAGTAGAATAGCATCAGTTTTATTATTATTATTATTATTTGTTTAGTTTTGTTTTGTGGAGTGTTTTAAAGCTGAATCTCAGACATCATTATGTCATTTCACTTGTAAATACTTCAGGAGATGTCTCAATTGATGAAGGTATTTTTCCCTGCCATTCTCACGTCTAACCAAATTAACAATACAGTTGACTCTCGTATCTATGCATTCTGTATCACATATTCAACCAAGCATGGATTGGAAATATTTGTAAAAAGCATTTACACCTATCTGAACATGTACAGACATTTTTCTTGTCATTACTCTCTAACCCATATAATACAACAGCTATTTACTTTGTACGAGGTATTATAAGTAACTAAGGGACGATTTGAAGTATGTGGAAGGATGCAAGTAGTTTATTGGCAAATAATGTGCTATTTTATACACGGAAGTTCTGCATCCAAGGATTTTGGTCTCTGCAGGAGGTCCTGAAACAAATTCCCCTTTGATAGAGGGATGACAGTAATTCCTTTTTATCACCAATATCTTTAGTCTATATTGGCCAAAAACTATCCTTCTGGAGTAGGATCGTTCAAGCCAGGATTCAAACAAAAGCTACACACTGCATGTGGCTGTTGTTGGAAGGGGAGTCCTTGTCTCACCAAACTCTGGGGAGAGCTTACCTTTGTCCTCCCACAGCTCCTTTCCCTGCATCCCCAGGTGGGCTTCCCTGGCTGCTGACTTCTCTGTGGACCAGGTGGCCTGAAGCTGGAGACCAGTCAGGAGAGCACCTGGGAGGCCTGAAGATGTGAGCGGCTGTCCCTGGGGTGCTGGGCGGGAGGAGTCAGTGTGATGGGCCAGCTGCGTCCACGCTGGTGCCCTGCTGTAAGCCATGCCCATCTGCAGGGGAAGCAGTGCCTGTCTGTGGACCTCAGCCGGCTGGGAATATTCAGATCCTTGTGTCCCTAGGAGGTTAGAGCTCAGAGACTGTGGGGTGGGAAGGTGGGACCTCTTTTCCCAGAGAAAAATGGAGGCAGAGATGTGAGACAGAGATGCAGGAGCCTGTTCCTGAAGGACAGGTAGAGAAGAGAGTGTCACCCCTACAGGTGGAGGGAAGACGGTTGTTCACGAATGTCATCATGACTTGGGGTGTCCCCGGTCAGCCTGAGGAGGGCGTACCTCCACTCGGAGCTGGGGTGCTTGTGCAGCCTGAGGTGGGCTAACTCTGCCTCAAGCTCCCTCACCCTGGGCACCTCTCTTTGTCACTGCTGCGACACTCTGCAGTGTCATCTGCATCTGTGTCTGCGGGAGCCTAGGATCTTCTCGTAGGCCACACGTCATCCATCTGCCCAGTGACTACCCCACAGCTGGTAGGGTCCATGAATGCACAGAATGGAGAAGAAAAGGTCTTGAACTATTTTTTTCTGCCACCTTCTGTCCCCCTGGGAACTTTAGAATTGTTCTCTGAACTCGTTGGGGATAAAAGTCTTCTAAAATGTATGGTGTTGGCTGCCCAGGAGCATGGCCCTTTACAACAGGCTGGCCCGCTGCCCAGGAAGGGCAGGGCGGCCAGACTGCTATGCAGACCATGAACTCACAGGTTAAGAGGAAGCAAGCCGTGCTTTTGTGTGTGTCGGTGGCACTCTGCACACATGGCAGTTGTCGCTGAGACCTGCTGGACCTTTCTTGGGAATAGCCAGCTCCAGCCCCACAGAGGGACCTTGCAAGTCGGGAAGGGGCTCAGGGACACCACCAAGACCCTGCTGATATTCAAAGATGCTGTCCAGGAGACTCGGTTCTCAGCCTAGCCTTTTATTATTGTTGTTAATTATCAAAGATCTGTTATATAAGCTCAAGAGCATGTTAAAAAAAAAAAGCTAGCTAATGACATTTACGAAGACACCTCCTGCTTCGTGCTGTGCCTGTGAGCAAGGTTTGAGAGGAAATGAAAATCATTTTCTGAAATAGGGGTGTAGTAAATTGTGTTAAACCAATAAGACATTAATGTTTGGGCAAATCGGGCTCTAACAGCATCTGACTGCAGGCCCAATCAGGCAGTTCGTTTTACCACCTCATATTATTTAATGTTAGTGGCGTAACTGGCTTGTAGCCGGCTGGCATGGGGCTGGCAGCTGAATCAATTACCTGCAAACACTAATTTAGAGCATGCTCAATTGGCTGTGTAAGCAGGCCCTGGTTCACGTTTGCCACAAGGAGATTAATAACTTGATGTGTTTGACAGCCTGGGACCTTAATTGAAATTATGCTCTCTCTCTCTCTCCAAGCTGTGAACCCGGCACTCTGGGCCTTTTCTTGATGGCTTGGGTTGGGGGTGGAGAGTCATGCAAACCATTGAAAAGACTGAAGGTCTGTGAAGTGTGGTATGGACAGTGTGGCCTCGTCCTCCTCCCCTGCCACATGTTTGACCCTGTCTCAGTCCTCGGACAAGGCCTGGGTTTTTTTCTGGGCTCTGTCACAGCAACACCCCATAATAGTAGCTTTCTGTTTCCGTTCAGTCCTCTGTTAATGAAGAGCTTTTCCAGCTGTGCTTTTTTTTATTATTATTATTATTAAAAGTCTTACTGCGTTTTCCTGCCCTTTGGGCAGATGGAGTGAGTCACAGTTCTGTGTGTTCATTGTCCCTGTTGAGTCTAAATGGGAGGGGAGCAGGTAGGGACAGGCACACTGCGTATGCCGCACTACACACACCGCACACACACACTGTGTATCCACCACCACACACATGCCACATACCCTCGTCACACATACACTATATTCCCACCTCACATACGCACTACATGCACACACCACCCCCTGCACACCCATATGCCTGCCACACACAGCACACTCCCCGCACACCACCACACAAACACTCACCATACCCCTGTACACACTACACACGCCGCACCTCCCACACCACACAACCCCTGTGTACACCACCACGCACACAACACCTACACACCACACACGTCTACACTCGCCGTACACACAGTGCACACTACATATACTCATACACGTGCTGTA